AAAAGTTTCATTTTCTGGATCTCAGTTAATATTAGTTTCGATTATTTCACGGTAACATGGACGGCGAACCGTGGGTAAAAGAAAACGTGACGTTCCACATGAAAATTTTTCGACAGTACGACTTGATGTTGCTATAGTCGAATAGTGTGGATGTGTTATATAATTCAAGAAGTGAGGTCAATGTAATTTTATGCGTTACAACTAAAACGTGCATCAATTGAATAGGTGTTTATTATACGCCTGAGATTCGTACAGATCCCATTTTGAGTGTGTATGAGTGCTTATTTGACGCTCTAGGAAAATTTTCGTTTACTTCTACTGAAGCTCAGAAAATTTTGTAATCGAGACTTTCTCACAGCAAGAAAAAAACTGTTCAAGAGATCTTGTCAAGCACGACTTTCTTGCGAAACTCCTCAGACACAGGTGTATGAGGAGAAGACTCTTATTTTTACTCATCCATACACAAATTATGGAAGCGTTAAGTGTGTGGATGTGGGTGTGAAACTGATGCTAACACCCTCACACCCACACCCACATCCACACCCACACCCACACCCACACCCACCCTGTTGGAAACTATCTTTCAATCATAAATAGATCTTGATGAAATATGAAAAAGCTGAAACGGATTCATTTTCTGGAAATCTTTGCTGTCAATGTATTGAAGTTTCCCAGCAATTCTTGCTATGTAATGCAAGATTTCCAGTAAAATTGCTCTGTCAAGTGTTGATCTCAAAGTTTGTCGTCGTCAAGGTCTCATTCATGCTAGATTGTCGACAAAATTATAGAATTCTTAAAATAGGAGCACTGCTTGACAAACACTTTATACAACATGAATATTGCGAAGCATCGATAGGGTGTGGGTGTGAGTGTTAGGCATAGATGTGGGGTGCAGGTATGAGTGTATTGTTCATTCGATGTACCCACACCCTTTTACAGAAGTGCAACGTTCTAATGACTCATTTGTATATGTCAAAAAAGAATTCTTGTTCAATTGGTTATGCAGTAGCCGCAAAAAGTCCCGCCTCCCCAAGAAAACTATCTAAACCTCAATCGTTTAGGCTCATATTTTTACTGCAAATAGAACTCGGTGAACTCTGATCGTAAGGATCAACAAGAGCTAGTTTAGCCCTAATACCAGGGAGTTACAAGGCGAACATGTGCTTTACCTTTAAGTAAGGATATCCCAACGCAAGAAGCAAATCTTACAGTTTGTAACGCCTCATTAGAGAAAGCAACGCTGCCTCTCTTTTCCATAAAAGTTTCATGCTAAACAGCCTCTATTTGCCCGAGTTATGAAGTACTCTTTGACAATCATCGACATATAGCTGTAAACAGTCTATGAGAAATTTATTCGAAATTTCATTTTTTTTCAATCGTTGAAGTTGAAATTTTCACCAAAGAATGCTTTCTAGTGTAGAAGTTTTTCCTGAAATTTTCAGAACTCTAGCTCTTAATAAACTAGAGATTCACGTTGCAGTCATTAGGGATGATGTAGAACCCATTAAGTTTCAAATTAACAACGAATTGAAATGGTTTTTTTATGTGGTGAATACGCAGTCATTAGACCTTTGTATTGATGAAAAAAAAAATAATCTTCTAAATTCTTTGATTATAAGATCTTCAATTGACCCAATTTCTCAATTATTTAATCATTTCTAATAAAGACTTATCCTTTTTTATGTAAGATGAATACAAACTCTGCCATACAATTCGGTCAAATTGACACCTGTATGTCGTAATCTTGGTTCTATTCATGGATGCGTCTATTATGACGCAAAAAACAAAATCTTTACTTTCTTTAATGCGGACATTTTTAGCTGAGGTCCTGCTTATGTAATGAAATATATTAAACTGTTCTTCGATCAACTTTATTCTTATATAGTTAAAAAACGAACTAATAGAGTATGTATTCGCCGGAAGACTGAATAAGATCATCTACACGATTCTTCATACTCCATCCAAGTTTTGGTGCTAAATCCGTCGGAAGATCATTCCATTCCTTGTAAATTGCTCTTTTTAAATCCTTAATTGTTTTTGGCTTTCGACTTGCAATTTTAATTTTGAGTAAGGACCACAGATTTTCGATTGGATTTGCATCTGGGCTATGAGAAGGCCACGGAAGTGTTGTAACATGATGCTGTTGCTTCCATTCAATACTAATGTTAGAACGATGTTTTGGATCGTTGTCCTCGACAAGGACCCAATCACGACGTCGTCCAAAGTGAATTCGAACAGTAGGTAGAAGAGCATTCTTATATATTTCGTTGCAAAGAAACCTACTATTTAAATTATGATGAAAACAAACAATCCGACCGAAACCTAAAGCAGACAAACAACTCCATATATTGACTTTTAATGGATACTTCACCGTTCGAAACACATTGCGGTCACCAGGTC